AGCTCTCTGCTGTATAACAGCCCCCCCCCCCCCCCCCCCCCCCCCCCCCCCCCCCCCCTCTCTCTCTCTCTCTCTCACACACACACACACACACACACAAGGGACATTTTGAGCAGATGGCCTAGGCTGCAGAGTAGGTGCTGCTCTGTGACTCATCTCTCTAATAAATATCATTAAGATAAACAGTAAATGCTCCGGCTACTACCTCAAAAACAAACATCTTAACACCTGTCTGTGCCACCATTGATTTCCGGCTATTTGCCAAAATTTAACCGGCCTAATTAAATTCCTGTGGTGGGAAACGGGGAGGCCTTTGAAGTTCCGTGTTTTTCCTTGCTATTATGTACTTGACATTGAGTAGTATTGTATAGTAGTAACGTATAATGGATTGGACTCACTGTAAAAATCTTTCAGTGCTCAGTGGAAAAAAGCATTGATCATAGTGCTGAGTTGCTTCAGCAGAATATATAAAATTTTAGTATTATGACTAGAATCCCAGCTGCACAGCTGAGTGACGTGCATGAATTGTGTTCTGTTTAATCCACTGAGGGTGATAGTATCTGCCAAGCAACAGTAATGATGGTAATAATGTAAGAAGTCATAAATGTAGATCCTGAGCATCCTGAATGAAGCCTCTAAGAAGGGGATTTCTGAAACCAGACCAGCTCCTTCCTCCAGACCTTCACTGGCAAACATTTTTTTTAAGAATTAAACCACAGGGCTTTTATGCTGATTTTGCAGTGGCAGAGTAAACCGTGGCCGACCATTACATATTTATCTATAAACGCAGCCAAAGCCACTGAGAAGCCGCATTCAGATAAAACGCAAAAATGAAGCAGTTAAGGTTGTGTGTGTGTCTGCATAAACAGTCCTGCAGTTCTTTTCCAACCACAGTTTAGCAGTCCGTATACGCAAAATATTTAAGTGACTGAAGCATTTCATGATCTTTGTTGTTACATTGCTGGCATAGCAGTTGTTAGCTTGTACGTTTTTATTGCTTATAGCGTCATTTTATGTTGAATTTCATAACAGATGGATCCTTGCCATGCTGCATGTTTGTTTTTAAAGTAACGCCTCGTGATACATTTTGTATAATCAAAGAACTATCTATAAGTAAAATGCAAAGCAGAATACAGTAAAGCAGTGGATGGAAATACAAGAGGAGGAATAACAGGGAGGGGTCTTCTGGGGTGATGTTCGGAGGTGCTGGGGCAGATGGCGGCTGTTTGGTGTGGGAGGCAGGTATTAAAGCCTACAGGAATTCTGTTACTCCCTGCTGTAATTACAGAGGCGCTCGACTACCTGTCATAACAGCTGTCCTGAGCTTAGCTCCGCAGGGCCCTTCATTTAACTCACAAATCACCCACGCGCCAGGAAAGATGGAACCACGGCGCTCTCCCAAATCCACGCGCCTCTGTGCTGTTTAACTCGCCGCTCTTACATTGATATCAAATGTATCGTTTCCTCATTTTCAGCACATTCATCACGGCTGTTCTTCACCTCGCCGTGCTCTGGTGTCGTGTTCCTCGGTGAATTTCATTAACATGCTTCCCAATGGTCCTGTCCTGGCTTGCCATAAAATGCAGTGTTATATACATTTGTGCAACGTACACATGCATTACATAGAATTTAGTCATAGTGTGAAAGGGATACATACACAGCAGTATGTCCAGGTTCAAATTCTTACCTTATAATCTGGCACAGAAGCACTTCGGGAACAAAATAAGCAAACGGGTTTCACAATTTTGGGATCATGCTGTTAAACTTGGGTTGTATCTGGTGTTAGTTTACAAAACTGAATCTATTTAACGCAAAAACATAAAAATTATAAGCCGTCCCATTTCAACTAAGTTTCCATTTGATCAGTAGTTCTCTCAGTGTCTCCTTATAATTTATTCCTGACAAAGTGAGTCACTGTAAATAAACTGGGTAGCTGTTGGTCTCCTGTATGTAAGAAAGAGAGATCAGGTTAAGGCTGAAAGCGAGTGAGTCTAAATGGCCACTGCATAATGTAGCATGATAAGGATGACCTAGGAGCCCCATTTGATCCACCCCCCTGTCAGGATGCCACTGGTGCTAGTCCAGGGGTAATTTTGCTGTACACATGCAGACACAGAATCCAACACACAGGAACAGGAGCAGAGGAAGATCCAAATCCCACCACAAATTCTGCGTCTCCCAAACCCAATGATTCACCTTCAGTCCTGACCGTCAGCCAGTAATACCTCCGTGTGGTGATCACTGTTCTCAGACTTCCCCCAAGCTCACCATGTTGCACCCTCAGACTGTATCTTTCTTTTTTTCCCTTTACTTAGTCCCCACCGTGCTCCATTAATTATACACTAGAGATGTAAAGCTTCTGAAACTGTGACTGAAACTGTGATATAAGTCTTTAAGGTGAAATCTCGATATCTATTCTTTAGTGTTCTCCCGTTTAGTGTTCCACATTGTTGGTGATTAATAAAACCCAGAATTTTTTCCTTTTTTTTTTTAATTTCAACCCCCCCCCCCCCCAAAAAAAGTGAGGCTTGAACCAAACCATGGTTCAAAAATTGAGGTCTGAACTGAACCGAGGATTTGGAGAATCATTACATTCCTACAAGACACCACTATTTCAAATAAAGTATTTCACCTGTTGTTACCAAATAAGGTGATTTCTATACATTTTCATTCTCTTGTTTTAGTGTCCAAGCCATTGTTTTCTTTTCTCAATTTTCCTAAAGTAAGGACATAGGACACAATTTAAATATGAAAGAAAGTAGCCAAGCGTTACGAATTTCCCTACTGCGTGTCGTGAGCAACACTAACATGCTTGGCAGCTTCATCTGGCAGCTGTGTGCCTGAGTTTATTGTGATGGGTGCACCTGGCGAATGGATGTGTGTGTTTATGTCGGCCTTATTATGATAGGTGCACCTGGCGAATTGATGTGTGTGCTCATGTGGAGGTTGTTCTTTGGCCAGGTGCTGCTGGACTTTCCATTCAGGTCCATACACCCCCCAAAGCGCAAAGTTCACTATTCACAGTCATGCACAGTGACCCAGCAACACCGGTACCCTGGTGTTATGACAGATGCCTATATCTCCTTGGCTGTTCCCGCAGGTGTGAGCAGTACTAAGAATCAGATGGTGTTCAACATGAGTGCGATCCGGGCCAGCGTGGGCAGCCAGCAGCTGGTGTCATTGGCCGAGCTACGGCTCCTCATCAAAAAGCCCACGATGAGCGCGGACAAGAAGCAGCGGCTGGAGCTGTACGAGGGCCTCACAAATGACACACACTACATCAACCACCACTTCATCTCGAACACCATGAACGACCGATGGATTACCTTCGATGTCACGAAGACCCTGACATCATGGCTGCTCAGGCCAGGTTAGTCACGGACAACCTCCAGTCACAACTTCTAATATATAATATTGTAAAAACTACAAATCATATAAAAGAAATAACTATTATATATACTGGATCCCTGAGTAATTCTGAAACCCATGACATGGAATTAAGCTGTGTGCACAACCCCACATATTACCTTCTTAATTGCTTGCATTTTCAATATAACAAAGATCCCAATTTGTGCAACGTACACTTAATATAGGTTAAACCTATTGCACTCACTGCATTCTTTACACCTTCCGGAGATGTTTGGCTTCTGTGGTAGGGATGTCATGATGAACTACTTACTACTCATTACTCACTACTCACTTTGTTTATTCATTCCAATCAGTCCTTTGAGGTTTTCAACAGTTTTCTCTGATTACTGACTACATCAAAACTTGTTTTTTTTTCTGATTACTGACCACCAAATTGCCATCTCTGCCCTTAGTCACACCTGGGTAGCCCTCGGCGTCTCTGATGTATCCTACTCAGGATATCCGCCTTCAGCAAAGCTGAAAAAACAATCCTTTCTTGATACAGCGACGGCTCTTCATGCTTGAAACAAACATGTCTCAATATAAAGGGAACTGGCTGTGCTTCAGTCATTCCTGGACAATGTGGTTAGCTACCCATTGAAGGTCTTTAATGTGGTTTTGTAATTCCTATACAGATTCTGCTGTAATATTGAACTGGTAGCCACCACTGTCTATATCCAGTGCCTGCTCATTAGTCTTATTACCCACAAATAAGAAACTACCAGTGCTACATTTGGGAAACGGAGTGGAAAGGAGTGCAAGCTAAAGGCAGTTAGGACACAATATCTTCTAGTGTTGATAGCGTAAGCCATTTGTTTTACTCTTTTGTTGCTTTTTCCTGGAGCAAATCAACACAGAGGATCAAGTTGTGGTTTTTCGCTTTCTGTGGAGGGACCATTAGCGTACGGCAGTAGGTTTGCCCTGTAAAGGCAGGTTTGGCCTATAATAATTTAAATGCTTTTTCATTGTACATCACGCCTCAAATTTCCACTAGCCTGTAGTTTGACGATCCGAAATATGTGCACGATTTTGCAGCTCCGCAGACTAAAAACCGTTGTGCATGCTGACCGAAAGGCTTTAACCGACCATAATGCAGTTATATGTATCTATTCCCCCAGGTTAAAAGAAACAACTTTATATGAAATTGCAACAAGATCTCACAGCATGAGGATTACGTAAACATAGGGTCTTGAGTATGACAGCTGTCACAAAATAACAATGAGTAAGAACAGTGAGTAAGAAAAATAGAATGTTATTTGAGGCTGATTGTAGACTATAATTACAGACTGTAATTCACACTTTGTATCCTCTGGAGATTTGCATAATGTGCCCTTAAGGTTTACCTAACTGACGTGTAATGGAAGCTCGCTGTGTTCCTGTGTTCTCCTCACATTAGTAAGCCCAAGAATTGTTTACCATGGTTATACTTTTATCAACGATAATTTATTCAGAACTCTTATTTTGGATATACCGTTGTAATGTCCAGATTTATGCTTTTATTCAAAATTTTACGGCTATATGCAAGACACATTTGAATTTTTGATTACAATGTTTGAAATTACATTTTGTGTAGTCAATTTATTTTTATTTATTTAATTTAATTTTACTGGATCCAGATTAATGCTCACATGTACATTTTACAGACTTCAGATAAGCAGATTTAGGCAACACTTTATCTGAGGGGTCACAAATAATGTAGTAGTACACTGTTACTTAATGTATTAATTAACCAGTAACTAAGTGTTAGTTACATGCTGCTCCCATGTTCATCAGTAATCAATCATAATAGTTCATGTATTTCATGCAGGAATTATATATGTACTAAAACTAAAGTGAAACTAAGTTATTTGTGCCCCCTCAAGTAAAGTGTGACCCAGATCTCTTTCTGTATTCGCAAAATCTTGCCCTTCATGACCTTAATATTATGCTTTGGTAGGGTGACAGACACCCCCTATTTAAGCTCTATTCCTTCGGACTCACAGTCTTACTAATGAGATTGAAATGGGGGGGGGGGGGAGTTATCACAGGAGGAGGGCGATTGTGAGACAGTTCTGTCCTTGATAAGGCTATGTTTTCCATCTATGTCTTTTTCCTCTTTCATCTGGAGCTTCCAGAGCACAGGGATTCAATGTCTGTGCAACAGCATCTTTCACCTGGTTTTCTTTAAAAGACTGGCTGGCAAATTGGCTGACAAAACCAAATTTATTATGAGATACTACGAGTTTGCGAAAAAAAAAATATATACTGACAGGAAGAACACAATGTTTGTACAAAGGTATTGGTATGCCAGCCTGTCCAGCATCTCACTCTGAATCAAACAGTATTAATATGAAGCCGGCTAACCCTCAGTTGCTATAATAGCCTGTACTCTTCTGGGAAGGTTTTCCATTAGATACTGGAACATTGCTGGTGGGATTTGCTGCCATTCAGGTTGGGTTTTGATGTTGGCCGTTGACCAGAGCAGCTTTAGCAGGACAGAAATGTGGAGATCTGACTTGCTGGAAAGGTGTCCAGTGGTGTCCAATGACGGTCCTTGGCTGACTAACCTCTTCTGTATGACCCCCAATCTGCTGCCATTGTTTGATGCTGGAAATTGCATGGCTGTGTGCTTAATTATACATCTGTATGTCAGCAATGGGTGTGGCTTATGGGGCCAGTTACTGTAATTACTATGGGTGTCCTAATACTTTTACCTAGATAAAATGCATGTGTATGTATCATTTCTGGTTGAGGCAAATCTGATCATTTTAAGAGAGGTTCAGTACTTCTTCAAGGCACTGTGTCAGTCTAACCTCTTATCCGAATCTTGATCATTTGGAGTTCATACAGCATACAGCACAAGGCTGGGGTACACCCAGAACAGGATGCCATCACAGGCCACAAGGCTGGGGTACACCAGGGACCCACACACACGCACACACATTTTCAAATAATATTCAGCCACTTTCTTGCATGCTACTCAAGACAAATGGCATTCTCAGTTCCTGCAGTGGATTTTCTGATTTGTCCATGGAAGAGTTTTCACTTTTTTAAGCTTTGTGCTTGGATTCATTGTTCCATTGAAAGTGGAATCATTCTTCCATTGTGTGGCGTATTCCTGGTCTTGCGTAAGGTTTTTCTAATGAAATTTATCCCGTATCTATTTGCTGTCAGTGAAAGTGCTGGTGTTTTGAGTGACAGTCGTCTTTTGTCAGACAAAGTGAAAAACCAAATAACTCAACCAAATGTCCCCACAATGTGGTTAAATCTGTTTCTTTTTAGCTTGTGGGGACATTTTTCAGGTCCCCACAATATAAACCTCAGTTTTATAAAAATCTGTGAATGCAATCAAAAAACTAAAAATGCCAAAAGTCTTGTATTTGGGTTGGTTACTTATGGTTAAGGTTAGGGCTGGGTAGGGGTTAAGGGTGTCGTGATTGGGATTTGGGTTTTTCCCATAGAAATGAATGGACGGTCCCCATTTAGATAGGTACACCAACTTCTTTGTATGTGTGTCTGTGTGTGTGTGTGTGTGTGTGTGTGTGTCTGCATGTAGGGGCATCTCATCCAAACTGTAAACTACCACATGCGTAAGGAAAATACATGTACGGTCATAAATCTTAAACTTTTTTTTAATGACTGTTTATGTGTAACTACACTAGGCAGCTAGATTGCAGTCTGCATTATCTCACAGTCATATAGCAGACAGCTCCTCTCCAGCTATTAACTATGAGAACGCTGCTCAGTCTCATGACTGCTCTGACAATGAGCATCACGCTTGCTGGACATCGTCCGTATGCTGTCCTGCTATCACTGGGTGAGATCAGTGGCGGTTCCCGCATACTTGGTGCCCAGGGCAAAGTCTGAGCCAACAGCAGTCGGTAAAAGTTGTTGGCCAGTGGGGGGGGGGGGTCACTGATAGTAACAACATTTTATTCATCCCTGTGGGGAAGTTTTCTTTTCACCTACTCCATCTTGCTCTCCATGACACACAGACACACGTGTATTTGAGAGCAAGCGTGACAGTAAAGGGCAGCTACTCTAGACAAAGCTTATTTGTCAAGGGTTAATGCCAAGAAAGTGAAAAATATTTAGTGTACAGTTTTCAATAAGGTAGACTGAGTGAGGGAATAAACTTTCAGGTTTTGTAAACAATAAAACTCAGTACTCCATGGGATGACAATATTGTCTGTGAAGACCGAGACCTGGAAATAGGTACTCACAGATGGGGGACACTGTGACCCCACACCTCATACAAATCACTGAACACAAAAACACAAATATGCACAGTGAAATCCGGAAAGCTTTTTGTGTTGTTCGCTGAGAGTTTTGAGAAAATGAGCCATCATCTCAGAAAATGTGCCTAAACAATTTTGAAAAATAATGGCCGGATTTTCTGTACAGAGGTTTGATCAAATTACGTATTTCGTCATTTTAAAAAAGAGACATGTGCATGGAACAAACATGACCCATTTTGTCACATGTAAGCAATGTGGCATGTAAGGCATATAAGGCAAACAGTAGCACCAAGTTCAACTGCACTCCCTGTTGATGACCTTTAACCTTTGACATTTTACCTATGTGAGCAACCTGACGTTCATACATTATTACTTTATCCATTTATCTTCATCCAGCTTCTTCTGGTGATGGTAATGGTGTTTTTACTGTTACTGTCCTTTGCAATATTGATATTTCCTTATTAATCTATGCATTCTATTTTTCATAACCTTGTTTGCACTATGGATACTGTTCTTGCACTTTGTATTGAGTTTTGTACCATGAGTTTGTATTATTGCATTTTATGTTCCTTTGCAGTTGAGTCTAGATAACATTTATTCCCCTGGAAATTGAATCACACAGTTTAGTATTGTTACCCTTTTGTACAGCTCAGAGTTTTATGATGCATCTCAAAATCTGTATCCTAACCAAATGCATGGCTATAACCTCCACATTGCATAGCTTCCCAGCAAGAATTGACTTTGGAGGGATAATCTGGCAGTAACCATGAAAATCCTCAGTTCCAGAGGGGTGTCATAATTTGTATCTGAATAGTAGGTTCCCTCCATATTTTGATGATAACTGTAGTGAAATCTTTTGTTTTCCTCTGTTGTGCAGAAGAGGAACAGGAATTCCAGTTGCAGCTGTACCGTGCCTGCGAGGATAACACGGAGTTTCATTTCAAAATCTCAGGTACTACATCTCCAACTATTCAGTCAAACACTAAGCAAAGACAAGTTGATGAGGAGCTGTCTCTGGCCCAGCGGCACTGCAGAGATTTTGGGCCCCATGAAAGCATATCCTATTGGGCCTCCAACCCAGACTAATCCAGTTATGGTCCAAATTGTCTCAACACCCCCCTTTATGGTGCCCCTACTCCAGACCTCAGCTTTGAGAAAATTGGGGAACCTCTTTTATGGTGACACTGATGTAGCCAGACAAGTCTTATGGTTTTGTGATCGTCTTCTAATGAATGTCCATTTGTTTGTGAGCAGGGATGGGAATGGAAGACTACAGAGGAGACAGCGGGGATCTTGCTAAATTTATGCAGAAGCCCCACCTCCTTGTCATGTCACTTCCTGCTGACCGACAAAGCCACATAAACACTCGGAAGAAGCGGGAAATTGACACAGATGAATTTTGCACAGAGTGAGTTTCTTGTGTTTCTCATCCCCAGGCTCACAATAGATTCTTTTCCTCTCTTCCAGTGTTAGATTTTTGCTTTATCATTCAGACTGCATTCCCCCTGTTAATTAAAACATTGTCCATCTTCTTCAGCTCTTATATTACGAGTGATGAATTTAGCATATGTATGACATTTAGCATTAGTATGACAAAGATTTTGTGCATCTGTTAAACACGTTTTACTTTCCATTTTAGTCTGTCCTCATAAATGGGTGTGTATAGGTATTTTAGAGCCTTTGTCACATTGTAACTATGTGCATGTTGTGTGACAGGAAAAAAGAGAACTGCTGTGTGCGGAGACTGTACATTGACTTCCGGAAAGATCTCGGATGGAAGTGGATCCACGAGCCTAGTGGTTACTATGCTAATTACTGCATGGGTTCATGCACATACTTTTGGAATACAGAAAACAAGTATTCTCAGGTAACAGTACTACACACTTCTGCATATCCAGTACACATTAGCTGCATATACTTAATTTTAATTCCTAGCAAAAAATATCCAGATTAAGGCCTGAATGTATTTTAGTGAAGTGTTTGAATCTGATGGGCTTGCAAGACTTTAGTGAAAAGCTCTAGTGGTGCATTGTGGGAATTTCAGACGCAGTCACAATGCTGGGTTATTACCATGTGTTAATCATTCCAGTAATAACCCAGTGATCTTCCCAGCTGCACTACACAAAACTAGGAACAATGAACATTAAACGCACTGCTTTTATACATACCTTTTCCGTCAGGTGTTTCGGTTCCAAAACCATAGAAGATAGAAATCGAAAGAGCACTCTCCAAAATTTTGTGGAGGGATAAAAAAGATAGAGAGCTCTGCCTGTAGATCTGAGAAAGCAGTGATGATTGTAATTAAGGACTGAGGTAGGAAGGAAACTGTCCAATTATAGTTTTGTATATTGACATGAGGCTGGGGTGTGAGTTGGAGGGGGCACCAGTCCATCAAAGGCCGCATGCACAATCAGCCCTTTTCCGGGGGAGAACCAAGGCCTCAGACTTGGAGGTGCTGATCCTCATCCCAGCCTCCTCACACTCAGCTGCAAACCGTCCCAGTGCATGCTGCAGGTCACAGCCCAATGAAGCCAACAGGACCGTAGCATCAGCAAATAGCAAAGACATAATCTTGACGTCAGCAAACCAGACCCTCTCCACCCCTTGGCTATGCCTGGAAATTCTGTCCGTGAAAGTTATGAACAGAATCTGTGACACAGGGCAGCCCTGACACCCACTGGGAACCAGTCTGATTTACTGCTGGTGGTGGGAACCAAACTCTCGCTCTGGATGTACAGGGACTTGATGGCCTGTAACAATGGACCCCATACCCCATACTCCTGATACACCTCCTACAGGATCCCCCAAGGGACAAGATTGTATGCCGTTTCCAAATCCACAAAACACATGTAGACTGGTTTAGCAAACTCCCCTGAACCTTGCAGCATCCTTGGAAGGGTAAAGAGCTGGTCCAGTGTTCCATGTTACATCGAGAAACGTATATAAATAACTGTTTGCACATTTTATAATGCAACTAGATGTTGAGGTTTTTAAAAGAGGGCACACTCAACTCAAGGCCCAGCTTAGGTTAGAACGTGCCATCTGTAAAATGACTGGTATTGCAATATCAGGGGGAAACAAGTTTCACAAGTTTAAGATGGAGTATTTTACGGTGTCATTCAGCATTGCTTGGTACCTCTTTAGTAATGTCCAATAACAAATTTCATGGAATCAGCAGCCACAGAAGTTCTGGAAGTAAGAACACTGCAGAATTAGCTACTAACATTGATTTTAATTAGCAGAGAGCAACATGATCAATATAGTAATGAATGGCCGTCAGTATTGAACTCCTTGGGTAGGATTAGAAAGACGGCAGTGCAGTGCTGCTTAAAATGCATCTTCTGCAGTTTTGGTTTTAAAAAGGTCCTTGCATTGCTTGTCTCAGCATCTGCATGGTGGGAGCACACTAGCAATCTTCTAGGCATTAGGGATTAGTAATACTCATACCATCTCATGCTGATGTTTCTTGTTACAAAAATTTGAGTGGTGGCGCCAAAAAAAAAAGAACAAAAATGTTCCGCTTCCCAGACTTTAATGCATTTTCTAATTGCTAACATCATATCTCTCTGATCATATACCATACAAAATCCAATTACAATCCACTGACAGAAAACGGCTTTGAGAATTTGTTCATTTCCTTTCTGCAACAACACCAGCGTTTAACATAATGTCACAGTGCAAGCAGAAGCAAGAGGCTTTTTTTAAACGTATCTGTTTCCAGGATTTTGGATTTCTACCATTCCTGTACAAACATTAACCAGATTTTCTGTTTCTAACAATATTTCTGCAGGTATTCCTGACATCTAAAGATTTCCCTATTAGCAGGGCTTTTGTTGCACCCCTACTTTGAGTTACCTCAAATGAGTTGCATGTAAACCAAAAGTCCGCCCTACTTTTAGCTTGTTAATCAATATTATCATAGTTAACGTGCTCACCCAGCCATCAGCTCCTTCTCAACTTTGCTGTACAGCTTGGTAGATTCTTCATTTGTGCCCATATCTGGAAGGCAGTGGGTTCAAATCCCATGACTCGCCGAATAATTTTATCACTGTTGAGTCCTCCAGTGAGGCCTTTAACCTCACATGCTCCAAAGATGCCTGCTGACCCATGATTTCTGTCCATCATTTGTACAGTATGTCCCTTTGGACAAAAGTCTCTGCTAAAAAAGTGAATGTAACGTTAGCCAGTACTGCATCAGCATGAGCCTGGGAGCTATAACACAGAATTACAAAAAAATGGACATTTTGGAGGTGCCAGTTCAACTTACAATAAGCTTTTGGACTGCGAGAGGAAACTTGCAGTACTCAGCGAAGAGCCATGCGAACAGGGAGAGAACATGCCACGCCTACACACAGTCAGGGTGGGATTTGAACCTCGGCCCTGGAGTTATCAAGCAACAGTGCTACCCAGATGTAAAATATTCCAGAACAAATTAAGCCTCTAGTATGATGGAACCCCCTGCCAAATGACACATGCAAATTGTGCAATGAAATGCTTATTCATTTTGTAAGTTTTTCTTAGTAATAGTTATAGTTTACTTTGTGATCCCAAAGGCTGATGAACAATTACTGCTAACACTATGACCAACTCAACACTAACACCATAATTATGACTGAATATTTATTTCTTTTCATCAAAACTGGCTCACGGTGAGTTTATTAATCAGACATTTGTTTTTCCAGCTGTCACCCTTAATTACAAACTTTGATATGATATAACAGTTAAACTAATCAAGAAACAAAACAAACATTTTAAAAATAAAGCATTTAAAGTAATGTTAAATACATCCATTGTCATCAAAGTCTAAGACTTTCCTGCAGGACACAGCATAAGATGCAGTAAGAATGTCCGCATTTGTGTCATTAATCCAAGAGAAGATCATTTCCATCTTGGAAATTACGCTGCATGCATTTTTATGTAGCAATTTAAATTGCTGGAGAACATCGAGGGCATATGATGAAACTCTCTGCTTCCATCTGACTCCAAAGGACCTGACTTGATTTTAATAATAAGATTGCTGTGTATAATGTACTGTGATATTTTAAAAAGCTGGTCCTTTAGGTTTGGTGGTTAACAACTATTTGTTTAAGGATTGAAAGTTAAGATGGGAAACACAGAACCTCCTCTATACATCTCAGAAATCATAAAACACAATTTATGCTGCTACTTAAAGGTGGTACTACCCAGAGGAGTATTTTTGAGCGTTATCACAAAGCGGCCGCCTGCCGCTCCTTTGTTTTGCTGAATCTCACAGCTGTACATTTCTGGGAGTTCCAGTCTTTTGTTTACATGATATTTTGTAAGATTCCCCTGTTTCAGCTCCAGCCCATTGCATCGCCCACAGTCTGTGGACACTGTTTTCTGTTTATACACACAGCAATAAAGAGGAAAGAGTAAACGGTCAATGGAAGTAAACTATTCTCAGTCATGCTCTCCCCGTCTCATACTTCCTGTTGTTTGCTCTCTCTCAGTCTCTTTGCAGATATGGATTTTGTCTTAAATATTATATTAACCACGATAACAGTTGAAGACTGAGCTGATAAGTAACATACTGATGTTGACACTATTTATGCTTTATGATGAGGGAACTATTTATCTTTTAGTGGGATAAAATTCACCTTTTAACAAACACATTAATGAAGACATTCAGCTTTCAAGAAAACTATATAATGGAATAATTGATGGTAACAATTAAAATTGCCCAAATATGTTAAATATGATCACTGACTTTGTCTGTCTTTCTTACAGATACAAAGTTTATACAGACACCATAACCCAGGTGCCTCCGCCCAGCCCTGCTGTGTGCCGAATGTTCTAGAACCTTTACCCATCATTTATTACGTCGGAAGACAGCACAGGGTCTGTATCCAGTACTATCACTATCATAGTGTATCATTTTGCCTGCAAAATAACAATCAGTGTGTTAGTAATTAACTAAGAGTGCAGAGGCCTTTAAAACCATCTATTTTTTGCTTGACTCTGAACACCAGATAAGCTCATAAAATGCATGTAATGAGTGCCACATGAATAGGAATTTTTAAATGTTACATGAGACATTAGGCAAACACCTACTGTATGTGTAATTACACAACCTGCAAACATTACATTCATGAGCTACAGTTTTTGGTGGAAAGACTCGCTGTCTCATATTCCTCTTTTGATCTCAGGGAACTTAACTTACAATTTTCGTAATTGAAGAGTTACATATTTTTCTGGCTATCCGTTTTGTAATTTCAACAGTGGTTTATCTAGTGAAGGCAGTAAAACTCTGCTAATAAAATAGCAATATTGTGTACCAGCAAAAAATTACATTATACCTAAAGGGATTTCTCTTCCTAAATTTGCTAGAAACTGGACTCAATTATATATATTTGGAAGTTGATATAAACTCAGGATGGGTTTTAAAACATGTAATGCTATAAATTTGATCTAAGTGTGTTACACTGTTACATTTTCCCATCCTGAACTAAAACACTAACTCCTATTTCCTGATACAAATACTTTCTATTTTTCCCTAATTATCATATCAGCATTACTGGAAATGTATCATGAAATATACAGATATACACTGTTCACAATTGACACATTATTTTTTCCCCATCCCAGGTGGAGCAGTTATCCAATATGATAGTGAAGACATGCAAATGTAGCTAAAAATGTCCTCTCACTACATCAGCTACTGCACTATTTGGGCAAAAGTACTGCGACACCCATAGTAATTACAGGAACTGGCCCCATAAGCCACACCCATTGCTGACATACAGGTGTATAATTAAGCATACAGCTATACAATCTGCAACATCAAACAATGGCAGCAGATTGGCGGTCATACAGAAGAGGTTAGTCAGCTGAGGACCGTCATTGGACACCACTGGACACCTTTCCAGCAAGTCGAATCTCCACATTTCTGTCCTGCTAGAGCTGCCCTAGTCAATGGCGACTGAAGTGATTGTGAAATGGAAACATCTGGGAGCAAGTTCAGCTGCAAAGTGGGGGCCACACAAGCTCACAGAGAGGGACCTGATCACCCAACATCAATACCCAACCTGAATAGCAGCAAATCCCACCAACAATGTTCCAGCATCTAATGGAAAACCTTCCCAGAAGAGTACAGGCTATTATAGCAACTTCATATTAATATCCTTTGATTCAGAGTGAGATGTTGGACAGGCTGGTGTCCATATACTTTTGGCCATATAGTGCATCTTCCCCACAAATGGATGTTGACATTTGGGGAAAAGGATCATCAAAGAGAAAATGCTAGATCATAAAAGACAAAAAACAGTGAGAGACTGAGCGAACAGAAGGAGCCTTAAAGGTAGACTGGAAACTATGATTTTCCTCAAACACAAACAAACAACATTTTCAGGATTTCATAGTGACCCTTAATTTTTAAATATTACACACTTTCATAATGTTTGTGGTTTTTGTTGATTTTTATTAATTTATTTTTAGTAGATTTGACTGTGTTGTATGTTGTGTTGTGTTTTGGGGCAATTATTTCACAACAAATCCTTTTTGGAGGGAATGTCTACTAGGAAAAGTAGTAAATGAGGTCAAGGAAACTACATTGCTGGAATTCTATGCATTTTCCAATGCTGAATTTGTTAATGCATCAGGTCAAAGATACACTGGGCAAGGCCAATCAGGACACTGCTTGACTGAATAACACTGGACGGGATTGGGCAAAAATTCAGTGACGATTCCACCTGTGCCTTATTTGCAGTTGTACCTTAAAGACTGGCTTCTTCACACAGCAATCTCAGTGTTTGTGTAAGTTGTGTCTTGACACAAAAGGTGAAGCTTAGGAGAAATATTGAGTGTATTCTGCCAAAGCAGAGGCTAATCTCTCATTATCAAAGATCTTGATGAAATCCAACCCATATAGTCACTAGGACAGTCTAAACACAGCCAGTATGTTTTGGATGCTGTTTCCAGGTCCAGCACCAAACCCTTGTACTGATTTGGGTGTATTTTAGTACAGAGTGAATGATTGTTGTGTATTAATATGGCTGCTTAGATGTTTTTTTCTCCTGCAGTATTACTAACTGCTCTTCATTTTACTTACTATTTTACCTACATATACTGAAGCATTGAAACACCGTTGACAGGAACACAAGAGCAGGGATCCTTCTGAAACATGAGCCGGCAGTCTTTTCATTGCAGATCCACGTGTTTTAGCGCTACATTACCTGCATAATAGGGGTCTATTCAAGACACTGCCGTGTGATATTAAAACTACAGAATGTAAACCACTCAACATCAATCCCTTGGTACCTTGTTGTCTAGGATACGCATTTTTGAAAAGCACTGCTGGGCCACAGAGATCATGATACCCCCATACTGGTTATAGGCGGGGGGGGGGGGGGGCTGGTCTTCCTCAACCAAACAACAACATTGTCTCTTCCTACTGGAGGGTAGCTCCTCCGGATTAGACCATGGATGGTCAGCCTTAGTGCTAACCCTAACCCTCCCCTCCTCCTGATCTCTGCTCACTCTTTCGCTTCTCTGTTCACCTCTTTTCTTAAATTAGTGTTCATATTTTCGGTAGTAGGTTCATATGACAGTAGAACAGCTGATTGATTGCATTTTATTGATTTTTTTGGTATCTGTATTACTTTATCTTTTTTTTAAGAAGTGTTGCATCGATATCCATTTTATATCACACTCCTGTCATGAGTTGCATACAGTGTCGCTCCACGGAAGTAAATTTTTTTGATCTTCTGGTTTAATGTAAACATAAACTCTGTGTTTAATGTGCATAAGGGAACACTGTGTGCTCTTATATAGGGGCATTTTAGAACCAACAAACGGAGCTACCATTGCATTGGCTACCCAAATCTCATTCCTTTCCTGCTAAATGAGAAGGGCTAACTGGTACACAAATCTCAGCTAGCTGACAATATTTCAATAAAGCTTTTATTTCAAATTTGGTGTTGCAATTTCTTCTCTTTTTCAGAGTGCCAAACCGTCCAATTTCTGTACCTGCTTTTCCCATTCATGATGACGTGGGGTCTGGACCCTATCACAAAAGTTATGGGTGTAAGGGGGGGGGGATAACCCAGGATGGGGGTACCAACCCATCACAGGGCACACTCACTCACCAGTCTCACACACACACACCAGTCACTCACACACCAGTCTCACACACACACACGAGTCACTCACACAGGCACACCTATGGATAACTTAGCAACTCCAGTTCAGCTTAGCATGTTTTTGAACTTTATGGGGGGGGGGGTGCTGGAGTACCAAGAGGAAACCTCACAGTGACACAGAGAACACAAGCAATTACACGTACAGAGCCGTGAGCCCTGGTGGCACAATGGTAATGCGGACCATTGCACCACCCAGTGTATCAAACATTTTCCTTATTTAGTACTTCTGTCCAAAGCAGCACACATTTTTTGAGAAAGCGGGGTCAACCAGTCCCTGGATGCTAAGGATCTTGCAAAAGGGCCAAGCAGAGAAATCACTCTGCTGACAATGGGATTTAAACAGATGACCTTCTGATCAACACAAGACAACATATATTTTACCCAGTGAGCCACACATCTGGTTTTATGACCGTTATTCCTATATGTAGAACTGCATGGCAATTCTGCCCCTAGTGTTTGGCTTCTGAAGAAAGGCACTATCAGGGGCCCCATTGGTCGAGGGGCCTCCCATTATTCTGCTTGGGCACTATGGACAGGTGTAGCCATATTCTTTGCCTGGACTTTGTATTGCAATAGGTTCTTTATTTCACAAACACATCTATTCAACCTTCTTACCTTCTGCTTAATTGTATAATTCACCAAAGTATATAGCTGAATTCATACACAAGGGAACTCCTCTGTATGTTTCTGCAGCACAAGGGGTGGAATCTGACAGGAACAGGCTGTTCGCTTGTGCCACTACATGTTTCGTTCTTCGCAGGGTTCAGCGGCAAACGAACAGGGAGATTAAAGGCAGTCTTCCCCGGCTCCGTGGCGGACACAAGCAGGGCACGCCTCGACTCGTCTCGCACGTCTTATTAGCAATGGCACTCGTGTGGAAAATTAAACATGTTGTCACCTATGTGCACACAAGTATTCACGACCCGCTGGACGTACGGTCGAGTAAACTCATCTCAAAGACGCACACACACATGCAAAAACAAAGAACACACACAAACGAAGACATGCGAGCTGCCAAAAAGTTTGGTTTGGTGCCATTGCTGTCGGGATAAGGCATTAAGTATAAGCAGCTATCACTAAAAATTGCTAACCGTCATAGATGTCACGGCATAGCACGTACGGCACCACACGCAGGCTTTAAAAATTACACTGTGGTATAAGGTGGTCTGGTAATTATACCAATTATATCAGTTGCCTCTTGATCATGAAAAACCTCGCAGATAACAAATCCTCTCCTGGTTTCTGGCATTGCCCTGTGGTTCATTATGAGCAATCACTCCCTTAGCCCTTCATAGGAATTTGGAGAAGAAACAATCATTGCATTCGCATGAAAACCAAATACCTCACAAAGCACTTAAGGTGTAAATTAGGCACTAACTGGAATTTATTCAAAAACGTGTCGGACTTTGTCCCTGAAAGAATGGAATTTTCTACTGCTGCTTTTGAACTGTTACGCACAATATTTCCTTAACACAAAGACCGCAGTGTGCACTTTATTTTGTTGTCTGTTTTTTAGGAATCTTTTTTTTTGCCACAGTACAGTAAGTCACCTCACTTGGCTCTCAAACATGTTTTCATTGTGATTGGTCACCACTGGGGATGATAACAATCTAGCTGGTGTTTGGAAACCTGGACTTTATGTTTATGCTGCTGTACTTTGCTGAGTGGGGAACTTTTTTAATAATAATAAACGTTTTGCTTTTAGTCTGCTTATTTTTAAGTATAAAATGAGCAGTGCGATGACAGGCTGAATTATTTTATACTTCCGCCATTCCCATTTTAGTGGGCGTCTTAGTTCAGCTGCTCTGTTTCATATACGTACACAATGTGCTGCTTGTTGTCTCTTGGCAAACGTACTGGAACCTTGTGAAACATGACTTGAAAAACAGTATTACAACAATAAGATGCCGAAATGACTAATCATTAAGCAGCCTCTCTTGTAGGACACTTTCCACATGTTTTATGTGATCTCTAATGAGAAAACAAAATGTGCCTCCGCTAAACGCCAAATAAATCTTTAGGGGTGCTAAAATAGGAGCCTTGGTCTTACAATAAAACATTTAGTGCTCAGTCTTTGTATTTCACTCACCACATGGTTTTCCTGGGGGCCATGTTTTTATACTGAAGCAAAACAGTGCCGAATCTGTTTGGGACACATAGCTGCATTTTTAAAACATTGCATTACTCAAAGACGTGTAAGGGGACACCGAGCATTTTCGTATGCGTTTGATCTGAAACATCCTTGGCAAGTAGCAAATGTAGCCCTCAAAAGTAACAAGAATGCTTCTTTTAAGTTCAGGGTACTGCTTAACACTAGTGCATTGGGTCTGTTAGTAGCAGATTTTCATAGCATGGATTTTAAAATCCTCCTCAATTAAAAAATATTCCTACAAAGAACAGTGATTATATATTATGCATTTTGATGCATACTCCCTAGGGTAGAAGTGCATTTTGGTGCATACTCCCTAGGGTACAAGTGCATATTGACGCATACTCCCTAAGGTAGAAGTGCATTTTGATGCATACTCTCTAGGGTAGAAGTGCATTTTGATGCATACTCCCTAGGGTAGAAGTGCATTTTGATGCATACTCCCTAAGGTAGAAGTGCATTTTGATGCATACTCCCTAGGGTAGAAGTGCATTTTGATGCATACTCCCTAGGGTAGAAGTG